GGCAGATGAGCGGAGGCTGGACTGGAGGGGGGTGGGTCTGAGACAGGTAGACCCATGAGGAAGCTATTGCAATAGTCCAGGTATGAGTTGATAATGGCTCCAATAGAGAGGGTAGCAGGGTCAGAGGAGAGAAGGAGGCATACACAAGAGTTGTTATGAGGATATTAGTGACAGGACCTGACTACTGATTGGACATGGGGCTAGTAGGGAAAGAGCGTTCGGAGTTGAGGCTGATGATGAAGTTTTGAGCCTAGGTGCCTGGAAGATGGTGATGCCCTCAACAGTTATAGGAAGTTAGGAAGAGGGGAGGATTTGAAGGCAAAAATAATGACTCATCCCAAACACCACTTTCTCTATGTGATGCCTTTCTTGATTCCCTAGTGCCCCCTGCCCCATTTGCTTTTTGTTTCTATTGAGTATATTTGGTATATACTAATATGTCTACATGTTATCTCTGTGGAAAGAATATTAGCTTCATGAGGGACTGTTACATACTCTCAGCATCTAGCACAGTACCTGGTATATAAAAAACACTTAATAACTCTTTGTTGATTGACTGACAGAAGATACTGGGTAGATCCTGTATGGTGGATACACAGAAAGACATAGTAAAGAACTGCAGAGAATGGGTGGATACACAGAAAGACATAGTAAAGAACTGCAGAGAATGGAAAGCCATGGATGAGGCTGCAACTTGCCCTATTTAAGGTGTTTTCATATCAGCAAGATCAAGGATTTATCCAATTATGGCTAGAATCCTTCATTAACAGCAAATAATTATTGCACAACAACTTTTTACTCATTGCTATGCTGTGAGGGTGAGGGGAAAGGAAGCAGGGAACAAGCATTTAAGTGCCTACTATGTGTCGGTCACTGTACTAGGCCCTTTAGAAATTATTCAAAACAACCTGTGAGATAGGTGATATCATCCTCATTTGACAGATACTGACTTGCCCAGGGTCACATAGCCAGTAAGTATCTGAGGCCAAATCTGAACCCAGGTCTTCCTGACTCTAGGACATGACCTAGCTGCTTGGGGGAATAAAGAAACAATGTACTGCCCTCACTGAGTTTATAGTCTAGTTGGAGTGATAAGACACAAGACAAAATAATTATTGTAGAAGGCAATGCATGGTTAGGGCTAAAATGTATACCTTCATACATGCTAAGCCATTTTGCCTGACCTGTTGGTTGGAGAGGGAATATGGAAAACAAGAGTCAAGGAATAACCAAATTTGTAAACTACATACTTAATCATGAAACGTCTTTGTCCTCCAAACACCATCCCTTCTGACCATACCCAGTTCCTGTCCTAGCTACTTGGATAAGAAAATTCCAGTTAGTCTAGAACCTAACTTCAAAGCTAAGCTTAAAGAGTAGAACAATTAGCCCTCATTCCCCTCATCTATCACTTTAGGACTGGGACTGGGGATGGGGGGGCAGATGAGAGGAAGACGAAGGAAAGAGAGAGCACAGGTAGGGCACTTAGGTCTGTTTATAATACCATGGAGGGCTGGGAACACTTCTACAAGCAAAAGAAGTGCTAAAAATCTCTATCTTATTATCATGGCTTCCAACATTCAACTCATAGCTGCACACAATAATCACAATGCTTGGGAGAAGTAAAGGGATAGCTTGGAAAGCAGAGTGGACTTCACAGCTACTCCACGGAATCAGGGGCAACCTTGGCAATCCAGAGGGGAAATTCACAGGGGATCGGACCACAGAAGCCACTTGGGCAGGGCACGCACTCAAAGAGCCCTGGCAGAGGTGGGCCCCACGTTGGGAGCAGCGAGCTTCCCTCTGATGTCCCAAGGTGGGGGTGGGGAAGGGTGCGGTAGATGCACAGGGAACAGAAGCCACAAAGAAAAACACCACAGGAACGCCAGCTTTCACATAAGAAGAACTACTCCTAACTGAACCTCAGGCTACTTGGATGGCAGACCCTGGAGGTCAGGAAATGCTGCTAAAGGCACGCACAAGTTTGCAGCTCTTGAGCCTTGACTTTATACCTCATTCCCCCGTGTTTCTGTGACAAATGTCACCCACAGATTCGATGACATGTCTTTCCTCTGACCACAAAGAGACTAAAAACAATAACACAGGTTAAAATCAAAATGAATGCAAATTGTGAAAGAGATACCAGGCCCCCCAAAAGATGTTCTATTAACAAAGAATAGCATGCTGTGTTCCAGCTTAAAGTTGATAGGGTCTTGTTCACTGCAGGCCTGCCTTGGGAGGGTCTCCTGACTGGCTAGGGCCCCAGGGGCTCCATCAGGCTCCCAATCTCTAGGTCCATCTGTATACAGGAATGAACACAGTCACTTATCTTAGGAAGCTTTTTATCTTGGGCACCCCACCCAGCCAGCCCCATAACCTGACCTGGGCTCTGATTCGCATTGGGAGGAGGAGGCTGGGCTCTCATGCTCTTTCCTTCGTGAGTGAGAAAGGCAAGTGCTGCGAGTTCTCAGCTCCATCTGCATTGACGTTACAGCCACATGAAAGGAGCCCAAGCCTACTGTGCATACTGTGGGCACAGAGGCTTTCAAGAGGCAGGCTCATTTCCAACCTAATCGACAGCTCAAGGGATCTCTATTACTAATCACCACCAATACTGCTTGAGTTCCCAGGCTGACTTCAAAGCTCCTCACGTGGTGCCCCCAATGGAGTGCTTTTCACATGGTCAGGGTGGTGCCCACCTCCCCCCATCACATGGACTTCGGTGACATTTCGTCTCTGTGTGCATCAGAGCATCCACAGGGATATGCTGTCCAGGCAGAGATTTTTTTCCCCTCTTAGATTTCAAAGATGGTAAAACTCACTTGGAAACATGGACAAAGCTCTGTAATATCCATTTTAAAGGGTACCTTGTCAGGTCTTGGGTTTTTCCATCAGGTTGCCTCCTTTCATTTACTTTAAATCATACTGTGGCCAAAGATCTTTGGAAGCTTCAAAGAAGAAATCAACCAGATCAATTGAAAGTATTAAGGTCAGCTGAGGGTCATACCCTCTAATGAGCCAAGTTTGGTCTTCAGGTAAAAGAGGACAGCAAGAGAGGTGAAGGTTTTTGGGGACCATGACTCATTTAGCAGGAAAAACCATCAGTCTGAATTCCACAATGGACAACGAACACAGAGAGATGAGTTCAAACCTGGGAAGTATAAAGAAGCTTGCTATCAAATTTAAAGTTCTTTTTGTTTTTTAATTGGATTCGAATTTCAACAAAGCCACAAACTCAAAGTTGGAGATGTCAAGCAGAATATGTGAAACAGTATTTAGCAAAAGTACTTGTTTCTTCTAGTAGTAGGAGAAATCCCCCAACTCCCTTTTCCTTTCTTCTGTCACCCCAGCCCCTGATGTGCTGGGGTGCTCCTTACAGATAGAGATTTTCTAGGATGACCCATTCTTTCGAACCCCTCTTGACCTCTCCATGACTGTTATATTCTACATTCCTACTTTTATCAGTAACATTTTGATATGATGAATTGGAAACATCACACTTAACATTCTCTGTATAGCTCTTCAAAGTAGATACTCAAATAGAATCAACAAACAATTAAAAAAAACTTACTGAAAACAGACCCGTGGTTGCAGAACACAGCAATGACAAACGTCCCTGACTCTACCAAAGAGCTTGGCCAAAAGTGTGGTCCATAACGTCCTAGCCAGGATATTCTTTTTTAAAGTTTTTCTACTTATTTTACCATAGAGCTGCTAAAGGCCATCGATCTGGTTAATATGCCAATCTGGTCTGTATGCCAGATTGACTAACATTCACCTTGTCTTGACAGTCAAGCCAAGAACAAATAGAAATTTTAGGACAAGTAACATTTTTTTTCTTACTTCAAAACAAACTTGCATGAAAGGAGCACTCATCTAAAAAGTAGCAATAACAATTTAATTATCAGATATAAATATCCATCCTTTAAACCAAGTAGTGTTCCTGTCCTTAAAATTGGTTTTCTTGCCATCTGAAACGATGGAAGTTCCAAGAAGAAATATGCTTAAGATATCAGCTGGCCATCTTACACCTAGCTCAGGGTTCTGCCTTCACGCCAACAGCAATTCTGGACTAATCAATCAGCTAGTCTGGTTGTGTCAGGCTTTGGGTACACAAAGGCAAAAATGAAACTCCCTGCTCCTAATCAGATTACATTTATTTTATCGAACAAAGGAAGTGTACATTGAAGCATATGCAAAACACATAGGAAATTCAAGGGAGTTTGGAAGAGAGTTAGGGGAGCTCCTCGAGGCTGGGAGAAGCAAGAAAAGTCTTATCATGCAGGAGGCAGGAGTTGGGCTTTCGAGGGATTGTGATCAGGTCAGACTTTACACAGATGGGAAAGAAAACAAACAAAACAACTAACCAGCTCTCTTAGCCAGAAAAACCGACGGGAGCCACTTGTAAAACTCCACCTGTTCATCAATGCTTTCAAGATACTTCTCTAACACAGTTAACTGATATTAGCTGATCTAATTCAGAATCACATCTGACTTACCTTTAAATCAAGAGTGAGAGGAAAGGGAAACCTGTGAAATTCAAAGTGCTATATATTTTTGAGGAGACAAGAGAAAGTTTGCTACTGACACCTACCTATTTCTACTAACCCATCATTCCAGCAATTTGAAGTCTTTCTGAAATCAGGACATAAGCCTCGCCATGTTTGCTGCATGCTGCAACATACCATATGCCTCACTCATACTGCTCTAGGGGTGGTATGCATTATGTTTCTTTTTCAAGTTAAAGTGACTCACATTTAGTTTGCTTTGATAAATTTTGAGGGGAAAATTTCATGACACCCCTAGAGATCTCAAGGGATGCCTTGAGTACTGTTAAGCTGGGTTAAGAAAGACTGCATTATGCTCTGAGAACATGCTATTCCTGCCTGACTGAAACACCAACTCCTAAGGTCCACAGAGCCCCAAGAACGAGAAGACACCATAGCAATAGAAGCTTATATATAGGGTCAGGCAGGTGATGCTGGGAGCCCAGGGCCTACCTGGCAGCGGCTGAAGATGTCACTGAGCGTGACACGGACATTGAAGTGCTTCAGGACACTGAGTGCTTGCTGCTTGGCCTTGTCAGAACAGTTTACAGAGAAGCACCTTCCTTCCCCGACCTGTGCCTGCAACTGCAAAACACAGATACACAAAGAGACATAGCTGAGTTTGGTGCAAAGAGGATCATTCTTCCTTCCATAGGCTGGGCTTTTTTTTTTTTTAAACAACAATCTTTCTCCTGAAATTCAGAGAGGACTTGGGCTCTGTACCTACCCTATATGGCATGCATGTAAAACTATTCTGAAAGCTGTATGCCTGGAGTGGAGGATGTGGATGGCATCCTTACTCTAGGCAGGTTGCTAGAGTTGGCAATCTAGGTCATCCCTACAACTCCACTCCTAGGAATCTATGCAAATCCTCAGTTAACAGTCTTTGAATCTTGTTCCAAGTGTGTGATGATTCCTGACTATTAGAGGGGCTGTGCCAGGCCCAACAGGGAGCAAGGCAGGGACTGGGTCTTCAAAGAGTGACAGCTTACAGGAAGGACCTAAGAGCTATGTGAGGGATTGTAGTGTTAATAAAAGACAAAGCCTTCGATCCCAAAGCAGCTGTGGGGATGCAAAGCTGAAGAAGGCAGGGACTCTGCCCTGTGAGGACACCTGGATGTAAGTGCCCATGGCTCATGGCAACTAGCTCTGGGGACTCTCCTAGGAAAATAAGATTAAGGGATTCCCCCCCCGCCCTTTTCACTCTGAACTGATCTCCACAAAAGGCCTCAAACACATGTGGCTGGTATTACACAGAATATCTTTGGAAATGTGAACAGAAACATGGTAAAGAGTTGAGCCTTTCCCTTTCTCAAGATCATGTATATACAAAGTCAAGAAGTGCAGAAAGCCTGAGCAATTGATAATTTACCTTCTGATATGGCAATCCAGAGGTCAATATGATTCTCCCCTCCTTTCTGGCAATCTGGAAGCAGAATTTAAGTTAATATGAGTTAGTTGGGGGAAATGACAGATAACTCAAATGTATTATTTGTCCTTCCTCAGAACAAAAAGGAAATATTACTTCTCAAAAAGGTGGTGGTGGTGGAAGAGGAGTGGTTTTTTAAAGGCAGTGGTCTGACCACACCAGTCAGTCACCCAATCAGTATTTATTAAGCACCTACTATGTGTCAGAGGACTTGCTAAGTGCTGGGGATACAAAAAAGAAGCAAAAGTCAGTCCCTGCTCTCAAGGAGCCCACAATCTAATGAGGAAGACAACATACAAATTTGCGCAAACAAGCTATATACAGGATAAACAGGAGATAATCAACAGAGGGAAGGAACCAATATTAAGAGGGATTGAGAAAGCCTGCCGACAATAAGATTTTAGCTCAGACTTGAAGGAAGTCAGGGAAGCCTGGAGGTGGAGATGAGGGATAGCATTCCAGGCATGAGGGATGGCCAGAGAAAATGCCTGCAGTCAAGAGATGGAATATCTTGTTTGGGAAACAGCAAGGAGGCCAGAGTAACTGAACTGAAGAGTGCAGGGTAGGGGCTGTAAGGTACAAGAAGACTGAAAAGGTAGGTGGGGAGCAGGTTATGAAGGGTCTTGAATGACAAAAAGAGGATTTTGTATTTGATTCTGGAAGTAATAGGGAACCACTGCAGTTTACTGAGTAGGTGGCTTGTGTGTGTGGGTGTGTGGCAGAAGAATGGAGGGTGTACTGGAGTGGGCAGACTAATCCACAGGGTATTGCAAGAATCCAGGTATGAGTCGATGAGGGCCTGTAGCACAGCACTGGTAGTATCACAGGAGAGAAGTAGGAGGTGGGGTGGTATATGCAAGAGATCTGACAAAGGTCAAATTAACAGGCCTTGGCAATAGATTGGATGTGGGAGGGGGTGAGAGAAAGTGAGAGGCCGAAGATGACACCTAGCATTCCGGGCTGGGAGGATGGTGGTGTCCTCAACGGCAATAGGAAGGTCAGAGAAGGGAGAGGAGAGGGTATAGGTGTGAGGATAATGAGTTCAGTTTTGGACATGTTGAAATTAGGATGTCTCCTAGACTTCCAGTTGGAGATTCCCCATTTGGGGATTTGAATTTGGAGGTCAGCAGAGAAGTCAGAGCTGGATAGGTAGATTTGAGAATCATCAGCATAGAGATGTTAATGGGATCTATAGGAGCTGATGAGATCACCAAGTAAAGTAGTATAGAGGGAGAATAGGGCCCAGGACAGAGTACTGTGGGATACCTATGGTAAGTGGGCATGATTTGGAAGAAGGTCCAGTAGATACTGACTGAAGGATCGGTCAGACAGGTAGGAGGACAATGGGGAGAGAGTGGTGTACTGAAAATCTAGAGAGAAGAGGGTATCAAGGAGAGGAGGGTGATTGACAGGGTCAGTGGCTACTGAGAGGTCAAGAAGGATGAAGATCAAAGACAGACCATTAGGTCTGGTAATTAAGAGATCACTGGTAACTTTGAAGAGAGCAGTCTCAGCAGAATGATGAGGCTGGATGCCAGACTGTAGAGTTAAGAAGAGAGTGAGAGGACAGAAGTGGAGGTATCTATCGTAGATGGCCTTCTCAAAGAGTTTAGCCACAAAGTAAGGGATATGGGGTGATTGAGAGTTTTTTGAAGATGAAGGAGACATGGCCATGTTTGTAGCTTCAACTAAATAAATTCTAGTGGCTTCCTGTTACCTCTGGGATCAAATATAAAATCCTCTTTTTGGTTTTTAAATCCCTTCCAACCTAACACTTGCCTGCCTTCCCAGTCTTTTTCCACTTTACTCCTCCCCTCCCTGCATTCTACAACCCAGAGACATTAGCCTTCATGAAGTGTTTAATACTCCAAGCCTCGACTCCATCCATTTTTACTGATTTACTCCCATTTCTCCCCCCCCCCCGCCCCACCCCAGGAAAAGAATGCTGTCTCTGTCCACCCTGGGACCTCCTGGCTTTCTTCAATCCTATCTTCTGTAGGAGAGCTCTTCCAATCTCTCTTATTGCTAGGGCCTTCCTTCTGGGATTGCTTTCCATTTATACTCTACATAACTTTCACGTACAATTTTTCACATGTTGTCTCCCTTACTAGAACATGAGCTCCTTGAGGGCAGGAGCTGTTTCTGCCTTTCTCCATATTCCCAGCATTTAGCACAATGCATGGTACATAATAGGTACTTAATAAATACCTTTTGATTGACTGACTATGATCAGTGATTACATGTGCATTTTGCTGTTTTTGATACCCAGGACTTTCTAGGTATCTGATCCTTTTGATAGCCCCACGTAAGGCTAAGTGCTAACAAATCCTGCTGGCAGAGAGATGCACAGTGCAGACCTTAGAAAGTGGAAAGATCTCTCTAGTCTTGATCCACAATCTACAATTTCATCATAACCATTCAGTCAGGGAATAAGTACGAAGGCAGTTGAGACAATCCTTTCAGAGCTGTCTCTTTCTATGACCCAACGGCCCCACCTACTCGGTAGCTGCCTATCATATTCTTGATGCTGTTTAAATCCTAGAGCATTGAGTTTCCACCACCACAAAGAATAAAGTGAACCCTGCACTCAGAGTGAACTCCAACCTGAATGTGTCAAAAATGCTGGGTTGGTGTGGGAATGCAGGTCCTCCTAGGAGCCACCCCACCCTACCTCCATTCCCTCAGGGAAGGTAAGAGAAGTGACTGATGAAGTTACAAAGCTCCCAATGGCCTTTCCACCTGCTCAGGGACTTTTTGGTTGTCCTGCCCACATGGAGGCATCAAGAATTCAGCTCCTGCTCGTTAACCTACCAAGACAAACTCAGTACATTCAGTGAGAAGTCAAACTACCCGGAGATCCACTGGAGACCCAATGTGACATTCTTCTGCACTAGGGTAACTGTTATTCAGTCTTAACCACTATCAACTATTGAAAGTGGTTTTAAAGATGTCTGGAATTAGATGTTTGCCTCATATATATTTTCTTTCCCTCCTAAGTTTTGTTTTTCATAGTCCATTGCCAGATCAAAGTGATTTTTTTTTCTGCACCCCAGGTTTTAGTATTTCTCTGACAATGAGATTTACCCACATTGAGGAGAAGCAGAATTGTGAAAAATATGGAGTACTGGATTTGAAGTCAGAAGACCTAAGTGTGAATCCTAGCTCTGCCCTTTACCACCTGTATGACCTCAGCATGTCATTTAGGCAGCTAGGTGAAGCAGTGAGTGGATGGAGTCAGGAAGACTTGAATTCAAATCCAGCCTCAGACACTTAATAGGTGTATGACCCTTGGCAAGTTACTTAACCCATTTGCCTCAGTTTCCTCAAATATAAAATGGGGATAATTATAGCTTCTACTTCCCATAGTTGTTGTAAGGATCAAATGAGATGATAATTGTAAAAAGTGCTTAGCACATAGTAGGTGTTTATTCCCTTTCCTTCGCCCCCATTTAATTTCTGTGGGCTTCCATTTCCTTATCCATAAAAGAAGGGAGTTTGGACTACATGACCTCTCAGGTCCCTTCTCAACTCCAAGACTATGATCCTATTTTCTCTTTCTTGCTTCATAAGTCTTTCCCATTTCTTTAGATGCTTCAAATACCCCCTTCCTCTTTCCCCTTCTCCTCTCACAAGAAAGTAACATCTGAAACTTCTCATGAAGTTAACATTCTAATCTCACTGTCATTTTGCAGTGTTATTGGGGCACATCCAGATTCTCTTTCAGGCCAAGTTAAAGAAGCCAAAGGGATGATTCAAAGCACTGAAGCAGCAGATGGGATTGTGCTCTGGGACTGGGCCCTCTCTTATAGTCGGGACTTAAAAAAGCACTCAAAAACCTCCTGGGTCAGTCATTCATACCCTGTCCCAGTTAAAAATGCTGGGTTTTGCAACACCCACTTAATGGGACTAATTGTCATAGTATCAAAGTTTGAATTTATTGATCAAATATGCCTGAAACTTAAATGTTTCAGTTGGAGTACTTCATATTAGACAACAGAACTTAAGAGATGTGACATTACAGCCCACTGTATCAGACAAAAGGAGAAGCTGTGAAGCTAAGTTCTGAGATCAATGACATAAATTAGAAAATCACCAGATCTGTAAGTCATTCCTAGCTATGTCATGGGGAAATTACCATCTTAATTTAACTTTTTAATCAGCCAAAACTTTCTGCTCAATCTGTTTTCCCTGGGTTATCATATCTACTTTTCTAATGGAAGTCAATGAGAAAAAAGAATTTGCTTTATTAGGACAGCCCTATTTTATAATTTGTGTGTGTGAATCTGTAAAATTGAAATACTTTGGAGACTAATCTTGAGATCACTCTTTTGAAGTGGGACCAGGGCATGTACTAGATGATAACTCACAGGCTTTCATAACCATGAATGATGCAATTGTGGCAGGTCCGACAGGCATCGAACAGGCTTTCTTCCCTCGGTTTTTGTGGTGACTAGAGGATGAAGGTGATGTTCAGTCTCACTTCAGCTGAGGTTGTGAGGACTCAAACATATTGCCTTTGTAATCTATGCATATCTTTGCTCTTAGAATCATTTTCTGAGGATTCTCAGAATTATCTCCCCCTCCCCCAAAATGTTGATCTTTTTTCTTCAAATGGTCAAGTTAATCCAGGTGGTATCTTTTTTCACTTGGGAGGCCAGTTGGTTTCTCCAGATGGGCAGTAATTTCTGTTTTCACTCTCTTCCCTCTGCTCTGATTGCAGAACCACTGTGAGAATCCCAAAGATTCACCTTACCCTCAAACCACATTGTGGTTTTGGGCAAATTGTTCAGAAGGGGCTTGAGAAGTCATTCATTCATTTAACAAATATTTATTAAGTGTCTGCTTTGTGAAAATGTGATTGATCTCAGGTGAGATACAAATATAAGAAAACGATCTCTGCCTTTTAGGATCAAAAAATCTGGAGGCTACAGATTGCTGAGGAGTCCTGGAGTTATTCTAACGTGTCCACAAATCCACAGTTGTACTAAACACTGTCA